ATTTGTAATTCACATGTCCTAATCGACTATGCCACAAACATAAAGACTCAAGAAATTAAACGGAATTTATAGTTTTATTCATAACGACTTGCTTCGATACAATTGTAAGAATGTTCAACTTGAACATTCCATCACACATGTATCTTTTCCCTACATACATCTCATTTTTAGACCACACAAATTTATCGGATACAAATACAAGTTTAAAAACGTTCTTACTAAGTAGAGATCCAGACACTAAATTCTTTCTTATATCCGGCACATGTAGGACGTTGTTGAGGACGAGTTCTTTTCCGGATGTCATCTTCAAAGTGACTTTGCCTTGTCCTTCAGCTTTGAAACTTGCAGAATTTCCAATGTATAGTTGTTCCCCATTCAATTCTTGATAGTTGGAGAACATCCCCGTGTCCGCACACACATGGCAGGTAGTGTCGGTGCCAATCCACCATTCTCTAGTATTTCCAATCATGTTGTTTTCGGACACTACTGCAGATAAACTCATTTCTTGCAGTCCATCGAATAGAGTGTTATTTGCAACCATGTGGACTTGAACATTCTTCTTTGGTTTTCGACATTCACTTGAACGATGTCCAGCCTTGCCACAGTTGTAATAATTCTCTTTGAACTTCTTAGCCTTCTTGGAATTGTCCATTCGCGGTGCATAATTAGGAGCCTTTCGTTTCTTATTTGTTATCTTTGGTTTCATTTCAACAAAATTTGCACCATCTTGATCAACCGGCCTCCGTTCGATTTTCCAATTGTCCTCTTCAATCCTCAAGCGCACAATCAATTCTTTCAAATTCATTTCCTTGCGTTTGTGCTTGAGGTAATTTTTGAAATCTCTCCACATAGGAGGGAGTTTCTCAATAATGGCAGCCACTTGGAATGATTCACTCAATTCCATTTTCTCGGTATGGATGTCGTGTAACAAGACTTGAATCTCTTGCACTTGACTAATTACTGTTTTGGAATCCACCATCTTGTAGTCCAAAAATTTGTCAACAATGAACTTCTTTGTTCCGGCATTCTTGGTCTTGTACTTTATCTCCAAAGAATCCCATAGTTCCTTAGCTGATTCTTTTGAACTATACACCCCATATAGTGTATTATCCAATGCGTTTAGGATATAGTTCTTGCATAGGAAGTCCGAGTGTTTCCATGCATCCAAAGCAATAATCGATTCACGATTATTTTTCCCTTCTTGTACAGTCGGTGCTTTAGAAATTTAGTCAAATTAAGAGTGGTGAGATAAAACAACATCTTTTGTTGCCACCTCTTGAAGTCTACTCCTGCAAATTTTTTCGACTTTTCCCCATGTGGGATAGTAATATTATGCAACGGTATGGCCAGGGGTGGTACCACATTATTGGAACCATTTTGACTTGACAAAGTCTCGATGGTAGTCATTTTTGTTACACAAATAGAAGTTCAACAAAATGATGATAATATCGGTGGAGGAATAGTACACAAAGCACTATTCAAATAAAGTAATGTTTGTCCACTACCAATCACAAAGAGACACAAATTTGTCTTAAGATTGTTGGAGACGACTTATTAAAAGAGTTATGTAAGGGTTGGTTTTTGATATATTTATTTGACCAGTTTTAACCCGCAAGAGCGTGATCAAAACATAATTTATATGAATGAAAATTTGGACAGAGTTTCGGTATAAAGATTATGCAAAACAAGGATTAAGAAGGAGTAGAAATGGAGAATAATCCAAGACGAGACGTTATCTCTTTCCTTAAAACAAATTGCCCCGCTACGGTGCTCACGGTGAATGACATTTGTCTTCCAAGATACAATAGATTTACAACTTGTGGTAGCAGCACTTCAAACCACAAGAAACCGACAAACTTTTGATAGAATTTCCCCTCTACAAAGGAAATGTATGAAATGCTATAGAATTAGAAAGAACAGAATTGCAAGAGAAGAATGAATGCTCAATGCAATTGGTGTACCCAAAACCATGTCCATAGGGTTCATTTATATATGTAGAAAGGGTGCAAATGAAGTAGTGTGAGCCAAAATATGCATCCTTTCAAAAAAGTTGCAACACTTGGCCAAAACATGCACCTTTTGAAAAGTTGCAACACTTCATTTCTTTCAACTTTGGTCTGCAATTTCTCATTCATCCGAAATTAGTTTCGAGATTTCAAATATACCACGACGATCTACTCAACGAGTAGAATAAGTTGGTCTATTTACTTTTGTAATTTGATCATCGGATCAAGTCCGAATATTTGGTCGAAATTGACACGTAGTTACACCTATTCATTTTCCATTTTTTACACACCTTTTCATTTTCCAATTTTTACACACCTTTCCATTTAATATTTAAACCAATTCCTACAATTTTCAGGCAGAAAATCCCACTCTTTCAAGACCTTCATAGGCAGTCAAAATAGCCACGGGAGACGAGCAGCTTGTGCAAAATCAAGACTTTTGGGCTTCAGAGCCAATAATCTTTCCTCTACAGGAGTGTACTCGGCCAATGAGCCGAATCGTTTTGGTGGTTCGTGGACCATCGGCTTCTCATTTACGTCCCCATACACTTCATCTCCTTCGTTTAGGAATTTTACTTGACTACCAAGTTTTACTACCACACCAGCCACATCATAGCCTGGAACAGTCCACAAGAAAAAGAGAAATCAGAACAATAAGTTGGGATTTGCGTTTGTTAGATGCTCCAAACTGTCAATTCACCATCTGAACCAGTAGATAATGCAGTATCAGATTCTAGCTTAGCTTACATAGAAACTTTCTAACAAAGAAGTTTGCTTATCATTAAGAACCAACTTATTCCATATAATTTGGTGTACTACATGAATTTTTGAGTTCATTGTTGTATTTCTGGGAGTAAGAAAAGTTACAGGATGGGGTGAATCAACGGCCTTAAATAGCCGGAACCGCCTTTTGTAATCAACCGGATTAATAGCGGCAGCCACCACCTTGTTCAAGACCTGATCATCCTTCACTTCCGGCACTGCAACTTCGGACTCGAACTTCAACACCTCAACGCCGCCGCATTCATTGTAAATCCAGGCCTTCATTTTCGATGGAATCAGCAGGGGCAGCTTATATACCAGAAAATGACTCGGAGAAAATTGGGATTCTTTTGTACAATCAATTGTTGCCGGGAATTATATGGCTGCGGCTGATTGGGTGGAGTCTCTTCAGTTTGAAAGTTGCGGAAGAGAGCTCACCGAAGATGACTCCAGAAACCCGACTCCAAAATGATAAACATGGGTGATGTCCAAGGGGAATTAGCCTGATAAACATAGTGGAGAACACAAAGGTCAAACCTTTGTTCATATTTTATAAAATGTATTTCGGTACGTTCAACTTATTCATGTAAAAATTAAATAAGAGAATTTTGGTACATATTTTATAAAAAGTTATTTAGAGAATATATTATATATAGTTAAATAGTAAGAAAAAGAAACATGTCATTGTTCAAAATTATTTAATTGAAAGAATTTATGCTTAACAATAAGTTTGAAAAAAAAATTATAAAACGAGGCTAGACAAGGCTAAATGTTGTTTTTGACATAGTGCTCTACATATGTCGAATTCTTTATAAATAAGTACTATTTAACTCTTGGTATAATACAATTAGGCTTTGGTTTGGCACATTTGTAAATAGTTTATAAATCAGAATTGTTGTATTCGCTCATTATTACAATCCACTTGAATGTCACGTCTGTTACAGAAAAGAGTTCTGTTGCGTGCCGACATTGCCAAGAATAAACGTTCATGCATCAATTGTCGAGGCTAGCCGTACACGGCATGCCTTAGCTACCTATGTTTGCTTGAAAAAATGAAAGTGTAGGACTTTAATCCTTGGCCAAAGACGTGATTAGACGCCTAGATAACTTTGGATATGGATGAGACTCCTCTCAAATTCTTCTACACGAATTCTCAAATTCTTTTTCTTATAATCACTACTTCATCATGTTCATTATATCTAAGTCCTTAAAAACTTGTATTTTACCCAAAAATGTTATTTAAAAAAAAAAAAAAACTACTTTTGTATTGGACATCTGTAAGACGAAGTCTCGAAATGGGTCGCAAAAGCTCTGCTGCTAAGAACAAAATATGCCCCAGTATCTTCGATGCAATCTTCGTCACTATAGTTCTTTGTTTACTACAAAGAGCTTGATCAATGCATCTTATCTGCAACGTTATCAATTATATTCAAAGTTAAATTTTACGAAATATATTTGTTGATCAGGAAATCAATCCAATAGGACAAGGTGTCAACAAATCCCATCTCTGTGTATGTTACCTACATACTAGGATATCACGTTAAACTGTACTTGATCGTAGCAGTGACTGGTTATTACATTCGTGAGCACTCTGATGCTTAAGTGAGACAATGGAAAGTATTTAGGAGTGAGAGAGACCAGTTCAAACAAGAGGAGTACGCCATGCTAATGTACCTTGAATGATCTACATCTCAGGGACCAACAAGGGGTAGTACAGGAATATTCACCTGTTGTCCATCGACTACGCCTTTCGGGCCCGCACAAGCGATGGAGCATGTGGTTTAATTTGATGCAAAGCGAAGAACCTTACTAGGACTTGACATGCCGCGAATCCTCTTGAAAGAGAGGGATGCCTTCAAGAACGCGGACAACGAACAAAAATACGGGTGACGAATTGAAGTGAGAATATTACCAAGATTAAGAGAGTAATCTTATATTGAAATTCACATTACCTTTGGATGTCACTAGCGTTGTTGTTGCAGAGCAAATCATGTCGTAATTGTCGTGTACAAGCCCATCTTTCACAAGTAAACTGATGTCGAAAAACGCAGTCTAAATCACTGCGTAGATCATGTTTCAGTACAGATAATCGAGATCCTCAATAAGTTATTCACACATGGAAGATTTTAAAAAGGTTCTAATGGCTGTTGGTCATGGTAAGTGGTAGGTAACCCACAAGTATCACTTAAAATTTTCTTCCTCGTTAACACTTTGCTCCTCTTGAAATAAAGGAAAACGAGAAAAGGAGATGTAATAAAAACGCAGAAGACACATATTTCTCATTCTCTGTTTTACATGAGCTAATATACACGCCAGTCACAACATACTTTTAACATTAACTACAAGATTTCCAACATTGTATAATTATTCAGAAATTCATAACCGTATTGCTACTCTTTAACATCTTACTATCATATATTCTTAGCCAGAATTGGCCTAGTATTCTTAGTTGCTGATCATGGATTGATTGGAAATATGACCACCTTTCCAGTGGCTCGGTTCGTTTCCAGATATCGAAAAGCTTCATTAACCTTGTTGAAAGGGTATGGCCCCTTTGGGTCGAGCACCGGCTTCACCTTCCCACTCTCCAGAAACGGATTTAGTTTCTTCAATATTTCTCCATCCGAATATACCCTAAAGAAAAAACCAGGTGGTGTTGCTGCCCCAGATATAACTACTACACTTCCGCCTTCTTTCACTGCTTTCACGGCCCTATCTCCTGGCTCTGTTTTCCAAAGAAAATTTATGCCAGTATTAATTGCCAACCATTATGGACAGCACAAGTGAGAAATTATGATTGAGGAAGAATGTTTAATTCGAAAGTCAGACAACAATAATGTGATCGAAGAGTAAGAATTTCTAGAATATTGAACCTGCTGCAAGCAAATCCCTCCTTGTTTGGGGTCAACTACATCCATCCTTGTTTGCCCTCATTTTTCTAAAACTCATTTTCAACTACACATTTCACGGACCCACAACTTTGCAGTCGTACATTTCATCCCACAACTTTTCATTCACACATTTCATTAACTTTTATGAAAATCTACCAAAAATCTGATTTTTAGTTTAAAAAAACATGTGCTTCATGATTGTAATATGAAGATCCAGTGATATTTGATGGTTAGCATCCAAAAATAAAATAAAATACCAGTTTATGGTTTGCACCTCTCTCGTCCAATCTCTAATAATGAGAGTAAGATCACGTTGCTTTTACAAACGGGAGAAAAATAATTTAAAGTAAACAGAATAAAACTTCATAGCAGCTTCCACAAATTATGCCCTTTTAGCATTTTCCCTTCTGAAAAGTTCAAATACTAGATTTGTAGTCGTCTGATAGTCCTCGTGAAATTGTCAACTTCTTTTTTGCAAGGTTTTTTGTGTCCACATCCAAGTGATTATTTTTGCTACTTGGGTTGGAATTGCTATCTTATTAGGTTCAGTGAGAGTAAGATGCTCAGAAAGTAGTCGTCCTGAATAGGCGCATACATATTTACCTCAAACATAATTATCGTCTTAAGACCTTAGCTACTTTAGATACCTAAAAAACATTGTCCAACACGCTAAACTACTACACATGATTCATTTTTAGGACAAATATATCTTAATTTTATTTATCTCCACATGCTCCAATCTTATCGACTTAGGTATGTTAACAAGTCTTTCAATTTGGGATCAATCTCATGATGTCTACACTGATAGAATTTAATGGTACAAGCATAGTTTCAAATTTAGTAGCCATTGGGACATCTACTTACCTACAGCATCATAAACAACATCGAATTTTTCTGGTAGGTCTTCAAAGTTCTCCTTTGTGTAGTCAATAGCCAAATCTGCCCCCAAGCTTTTCAGAAGTTCCAGTTTTCCTGTGCTTGAAGTAGCAGCAACCTTTGAAGCACCAAACACTTGTTTTGCAATCTGCATCACCAAAATAAATAGATGGTGCTAATATTTCTCTACGCCGTTAACTTAATCCCTCAGCCATTATTTGAAGCATGCAATGGTACTAATTAACAGAAAGAAGTTAAAATCTTGTCTATTGTAATATCTAGTCCTTTACACGATCCACACAGATGAACAAAGCCATAGCTTATTGGTTTACCTGGATCACAAGGGAACCAACTCCACCAGCACCACCTAATACAAGTACGGATTTTCCAGCAGAAAATCCCGCACTTTCAAGACCTTCATAAGCAGTCAAAATAGCCACAGGGAGACTAGCAGCCTGTGCAAAATCAAGATTTTTCGGCTTCAGAGCCAATAATCTCTCCTCAACAGCTGTGTACTCGGCCAATGCGCCAAACTGTTTAGGTCGTTCGTGTACCCTCGACCTCTCATTTATGTCCCCATATACTTCATCTCCTTCTTTTAGGCCTTTTACTTGACTACCAACTTTAACCACCACACCACCAACATCATATCCTGGAACAGTCTAAAGGAAAAATGAGAAATCAAAACAATAAGTTGGCAGTTACATTTGTTAGGTGCCACAAATTGTCAATTCACCATCTGAATTAGTAGATAATGCAGTTACAGGGTGAATATATGATTCTAGCTTAGCTTACATAGAAACTTTATAACAAAGATAGAAGTTTGCTTATCATCAAGAACCAACAATAAACTAAGTTTTATGCTATGTTCATTGTACAATTATCCGGTCGATCCCATTTCAACAAAGTTTATAGTTGAATATAAACTGCAGAAAAAAGAAAATAAGAAAATAATTACAGGAGGGGGTGGATAAATGTCCTTAAATTGCCCGAGCCGCCTTTTGCAATCAGATGGATTAATAGCGGCAGCCACCACCTTGATCAAGACCTGATCATCCTTCACTTCCGGCTCTGCAACTTCGGACTCGAACTTCAACACCTCAACGCCGCCATACTCATAGTAAATCCAGGCCTTCATTTTGGATGGTATAGAAAAAGACATTGCTGAGAATTCAGCAGGAACAGCCTGTGTATGAGAAAATGGGGATTTATATGCACAAAATGGTTTAATTTTTCAGAACATAGTAGGGAAATATGGCTGCAGTTGAATGTTGCGTAAGACTGAGGAGTTACCATCGAGGATCGTGCTCTTTGGCCTGGCTTAAAGCCAGGGCCAAATCCAGTGGCGCCCCCCTATTGGAGGGGCGGCTGTGGCGCCTCCGCCAATAGTGGGGTGGCGGCTGTAGCGCCCCCTCCAATAGTGGGGCGCCGGGCCAAAACGTTTTACCGAACCATCTTTGACTCTAGAAAGCGGATTCAAAAACGATGAACATAGTCAAGAAAAAGGTCCAAACCTTTGTAGAAGCCTGTAATAATGTCTATGTTCAATGCAAAATTTTAAATTATTTACAAAAAGAAATTGCAGTGCTTCTAAAGATATACCTGAATGGGTAATCCTCCTTGCATAGGGGCCCTGTGCACACTGAGACCTGGGGTGTGCAAATAGCACAACCCTACCTGAATAGCAATTATGAACGTGTAATTAACATTTAGTTTGAGTATTTTAATTATATCATTAATGATGTAATTTTTTCCATTTTTATTTTTACACCAAACTGTATGATTTTTATTAAAATTATTTTGTATGTTTTTTTGTTTCCAAACCTTTCTTGCAGAGAGAGAGAGAGAGAGAGAGAGAGAGATTAAACAACTGCAATTGAAATTAAGAAAATTAAAGAGAGAGAGAGAGAGAGAGAGAGAGAGAGAGAGAGAGAGATTAAACAACTGCAATTGAAATTAAGAAAATTAAGCATGCGTTCTTGATAAATTTTCAATTTGCAAGATTTCCCCAACTTAAAATGAATATAAAATTAATTTTTTATCCAAAAAATAATTGTTGTAAAATAATGAAATAATTATTTATGATTATTTAGTATTATCATGATATATAGATAAATCTTATCTTATCTAAAAGATCTATTTCTTTTTAATTGTAATTCTGATTTTGGACCTTATAAACATAGGATATTGGTTCTTAATAATACATATAAATCTATTGACTTCTCTATATTTTCTTCTCTTTTCTCTATTTTCATAACATGTTATTAATACGATGATCTCATTACATGAAACTTGCCCCGTCAAATGAATTCTTTTCTCTGACTCTCGATCAAATTTGTTTTTTTCTCTCTAGTATATATATACATGCATCTTGAAAATTGTGAAAAAAAATGGGGGCATTGAAAGTGGTTGAATTGACCACGTGCATATATTGTATTCAGATTTCGTGGCTAGACTTTTTGTTTGCAGGTTATCCAATTTAAAAAGGGATTTTTAAAAAATAAAATAAAAGTATTTGGAGCATGGGATGTTGAAATATATCACCTTTAATCGTTGCGGAACATCTATTGATTCCATAATTTTTGTTCCTTAATAAAAAAAATAAATACATGCTGATATTATTTTCATCAAAAAACTGCACATGGTGTATTTAATTGTTTGTTTCTTGTTCATGTTCGATTAATTATTATGTTCATATTTTTTTTAATTACATATTATAGTTTATAAATTTAGTACTCTGATATCTCTCTATTACAAATAATTTGTTGGTGCTCCTGGAATAGCACAACACCGTAAATATTCTAAAAGAATATAATTGTTTCTGAAGAAGTACAACTCTACAAATATTTACATTCTACCAAAAAATAAGCTCCTGAAGAGTTCATGTTTTTAAATAATAATTCATTATTGCCCATGAAGTAGTACAACATTAGTAATATTCCAGAATAATATTATTTGCTTTCGAAGAGCATGAATTATAATTTCCAATATTATAGAAAAATATTGATATATTATTTTTGAAGAGCATGAATTACAACTTTTATTATTTCAAATGAAGATATTGATTTATTACTGTTGAATAAGTAATAGTAAAATATAAAGTACTCCTGAAGAAGTATAACTCTGCAAATATTAATATTTATCTAAAAAACATATTCATGAAGAGTTAATGCTTTTAAACAATAATTTATTGATACTTCTGATGATGCACAACATTGTTAATATTCTAGAAGGAATATTATTACTCCTAAAATAGCATACTATTATTGACAGATATTTTAGTTAGATTTTACTTGTTCCCGAAGAGTATAATTAAATACGATCTAACGTCAATTATGTTTTTGCCCCTAAAGAGTAAAGTCTAATACAATTTATTATTTCAAATAATAATATTCATTGCTCCTAAAGAGCATAACACTACGATTCCAATATTTCAGATGAATATTGATATTGTGCTTAAAGAAGTGATAATAAAATACAACGTAATCTTGTAATAGCATATGTTTTGAAGAATATATCATGTATAAGTTATGAATCTGTGTTTATCCTTGAAGAAAAACATAAGATTTATGTCATGTGGACATTGATCATTATATAATTATATAATGTTGAATCATATTTTTCTAAATTAAATAATTGAATTATATCTTATATTGAAGTAATTGAACCATAAGTTCTGTTGATATCCGAACTCCGATCTAATAAAAATAGTTCGCTAACCTCACCTCAGTTAAATGTGAGTTCGGTCCTTACTCCCAGGTCGAACAATCCCGCCGTTATCTCAGAAAAACATCATAATTACCCCCTATCACATCACCCTATCAATCAAATACACTTGCCACAGGTGACATCATCATCGCCCGGAACAACCAATCCTAAGTCCTCAACCTCCAACCCCTTGCAGGTCATCATTACCTGGGGAAAACATTGACACATGACCACAGGCCTCATCGACCAATCACAAGAGAATTCGACGACCTGAGTTTCGAGCTCGGTATTGTTGCTGATTTGACTGATTTGATGTAATATCGACTGAAACTATGTATAAATAGTTGAATAGGACCTTGTAAAGGGCAAGTGATTTCATATAACAACTTAAGGCATAATTACGCTCTCTAAACATATTTTATGATCTTTTTTCAACAATAAATCGCCATTTTTTTCTTAAAGTTGACTTAAGATTAACCTTGCTAATTTTGACGTCAACAATTTGGCGCTAGAGGAAGGGCCCTAATTGTGAAAAATAGTCTCATTCTCTCTACAAAATTCGAGAGCCATGAGTCGTAGCTCAAGTTCCAGAAATTCATTTCACACCTACCCTCATGAAACGAATACACCACCAAGTTCTCCACGACGGCAGGACCCTCAAACGACCGCCATGAGGGAAACCTGCACCAGCCATCAATACAACTCCCCGGGAGTGCATAAAGTAAACGTATGGGAATTCGAGCTCATTCCACTAGACCCGCGAACTAGGATCGAAGGAGGAGAACCCGTCGAAGAACTAGACGGAGTTCAAGTCTGTGCCAAGGACCCAACAAAGGAGCTCAAAGTCAGGCGTGAGCTGAAGCCATCCACCTGAAATGAAATTGTGGCCTTCCTTAGACAAAACCTTGATATCTTCGCCTGGAATCACAGGGACATGAGAGGAATAGACCCCAACATCGTATGCCACAAATTACAGGTGGATCCTTCTGTTCGACCAAAGCAGCAAAAAAGACGACCTCTAAACCCTGAAAGATATGAAGCACTCAACAAGGAGGTGCAAAAACTGTTGCATAACGGTTTCCTCCGTGAGGCCAAATACCCGAAGTGGGTTGCAAATTCGGTCCTTGTGAAAAAACACAACGGAGATTGGAGGGTATGCATAGATTTCACCGACCTCAACAAAGCATGCCCAAAAGACAGTTTTCCATTGCCAAGAATAGATCAAATGGTGAACGCCACTGCCGGACACGAACTACTCAGCTTCACGGACGCGTATTTCGGATATAACCAAATACCGATGTACGACCCAGATCAAGAACATACCTTATTTGTAACTGGCCGAGGTCTTTATTGCTACAGAGTAATGCCATTTGGTCTCAAAAACGCTGGTGCGACCTACCAATGACTAGTGAATTCCATGTTTTCCCAACAGACCGGAAAAACAATGGAAGTGTATGTTGACGATATGTTGGTCAAAAGCATCAAGGCCAAGGATCACTGTCAACAACTGACCGAGATGTTTGATAAACTGAGGAAGTATGGAATGAAGTTGAACCTAAGGAAATGTGCTTTCGGGGTCAGCTCTAGAAAATTCCTAGGTTACATTGTGAACAACCGAGGAATCGAGACAAATCCTAAAAAAATACAAGCTGTCATCCAAATGAGGCCTCCAACTAAACCTAGAGAGTTACAAAGTTTAACCGGAAGGATTGCCGCCCTCAGCTAGTTCGTCTCCAAGTCTACGGACAGTTGTAAACCCTTCTTTGACACATTACGAGGAGGAAAGAAGTTCAAATAGACCAAAGAATGCCAGGACGCCTTTAACGAGCTAAAGAGACAACTAGCTCAGTCTCCGTTGCTTTCAAAACCTAAGGCCGGCGACGTCCTGAAGCTTTATTTATCTATTTAAAAATACGCCATTAGTGCGGTTTTAACCCGAGAAGAGAACAGTGTTCAACACCCAGTCTATTACGTAAGCAAGGCATTTCACAAAGCTGAGCTCGGATATTCACCTGTAGAGAAATTGGCATTCACCTGCTGATGGCCGCGCGAAAACTAAGGCCATATTTCTTGGAACACCCCATTGAGGTCCTCACCAACTCTCCATTAAGGTAAACACCACAAAGATCCAACACTTCAGGTCGGATGGTAAAATGGGCAGTCGAGCTCGGACAATTCGACATCAAATACATGCCACGAAGCTCTCATTGTCGGCACAAGGATGGCCTCAGGGTTGGGGATCTTCGACCTGATCATATATAGCGACTCTTAACTAGTCGTAAATCAGGTCAACGGTGTATATATAGCGAAAGAAGAAAGAATGGTCAACTAACTACAAGTTGTAAGAAAAGAACTTGAAAGGTTCAACACCACCGAAGTCAAGCAAATTCCCCGATCGCAGAACGGTCACACCGATGCACTGGCACGGCTAGCCACCAGTGAGGGAATTGAAGAATTCGATAGTATCCCTGTGGGAAGAATATTCTTACCGTCTACCAAGTTGGACGAAGTGGTCCATATGATGATAGACCCCAAACCAACCTGGCAGGATGAGATCGTCACCTACCTAAAAACTGGGAAATATCCCGAAAATTTTGCAGAGGCTAGAAAGCTTTGAATCAGGTCGGCTAGGTATACACTCATTGACGATGTACTATACAAACGGGGATATTCTACACCTTTGTTAAGGTGTTTAAATGAAGAAGAAACTTAGCATGCCCTGCAAGACGTTCACGAAGGAATATGTGGAAACCATTCAGGTGGGCTCTCATTAGCCCACAAGATCATATGACAAGGATACTTCTGGCCTGCAATAAGACGTGATTCCCTTGAATTTGTCAAAAGATACGACAAATGCCAACGCCTCGCCCCCATCATAAACGCTCCACTGCACAAGTTGAACCTAGTAACAACACCTTAGCCCTTTGAGAAATGAGAGGTCGACCTAATTGGACCTATGCCCGTTGGAAAAGGAG